AGCTCAATCTAGTGTTCTGATGTCTCAACTGCTGGGGCAGAAATCGTCTTTAAAAGTGGACGATGTAAAAATGAGAAACTGCGCTAAACCACTGCAACGTTCTAAAATTAATTCTGATTCAACTGGTAGATGGACTGCATCGAAAGTCATCCCACATGTAAAATGAAGCTTTAGCTATCGCCCGTTGGAAGCACCATTGGGGCTTCTAAGACCATTGCTCAGAAATCGCCTTTCAAAAAGGACGAAGTAAAAATAAAAAATCGCGCAAAAACTCTCCAAACTTCTAGAATTGATTATGTCAACACCAATGTCTTAAATGGAACGCAATCTATACCACCGATTAACTGAGGCTCCTTTAATCCCACGGTAAAACCTGCATTCCGATGTTTGGACTAATTGCTCAGAAATCGTCGTCACAAGGGTACGACAAAAATTTTAAAACCGCTCAAAAACTCTCCAAAGTTTAAAAATCTACTCTGAAGGCACTAGCAACTTGTATGAACCCAAATGTACACCACATATTTGCTGAAGCTTCTGTTACTGGAGGCTAAAGCCCCCATTGCGATGTCAAAACATGTTGCGCAGGAATCGTCTTAAGAAGTGGACGATGTAAAAATGAAAAACTGCGCCAAACCACTCCAAAGTTTAAAAAAATATTCTGACTGCATCAGTGTCTTGAATGGATGGAAGTTTTCAGCACATAAGAACAGAAGCTTTTGTTGTCCAACATCAAAAACCTCATGCCGATCTCTTGCTCAGAAATAGTTTTTAGGAGTGTGTGATGTATGAAGTTTGCAAATTAATTCCCACTCGACTAATCGTTTCTAAAATTTTACCTCTTGCGTCCTATATTTCGAAAATCGTCTACTCTTTAAGTGGGCCAATTAGGTGACCTTTTTATGTGCGACAGCACTTTTCATCTTTCTGAAAATCCTCCCTGGGAAAAACAGGTTTATCCAGGCATTTACTCATGTGCCCGTACAAGCAGCCCGCTTTTCCTTGTGCGTCGTAAAATAGGAGAAATAGGTGCTCATCCTAAAGTCAATACAATCGAATTTCGGCAGAGATAAGATGCAATAGCCGGAAAAGTTGCCAAATCCGATAAGATAAAGCCGAGCCTATGTAAAATGCAATTGAACCTGGCGGACGCAATAACAATAACAAACTCTCGGCCGAACCACCTGCATTTGGGCCTGACAGTGTGCGAAAATGTCAAAAAACTAACAAAAAAGTGCGCAAAATTCCAGTGATTTTCCAGTGAAGATGAGCTGCCCCAGTAAAATTTGCAACCCGCCCGCTGCAGGCGCCGACGATGGATGGGTGGAGGAAAAGGCGTCCCCCGAAATCAAAGAGGCGATGAAACCCTTTGCTCTGGATGAGGCGACTTTGAGGAAAACCATGGCCCTTTTCCTCGACAACATTGAGCGAGGTTTGAAAAAAGCCACTCATGATGAGGCCACGGTGAAATGCTTCCCCACCTACGTGCAGGACTTGCCCCAAGGGACGGAAAAGGGAAAATTCCTGGCCCTTGATCTGGGAGGCACCAACTTCCGCGTGCTGCTAGTCGAGCTGGACATCGGCAAATGCGACTTGCAGTCGGACATCTACGCCGTTCCCCACGATGTAATGCTTGGCACTGGTGAGCAGCTCTTCGACCACATCGCAGCCAGCTTAGCTGACTTCGTCACCAAGCATCAGCTGGAGGCTGAGGTGCTTCCTTTGGGCTTCACCTTCAGCTTTCCATTGGTGCAGAAGGGCCTGCGCTCGGGCCTTTTGGTCCGCTGGACCAAAGGCTTCAACATCCCGGAAGTGCTGGGGGGCGATGTGGTGCAATGGCTCCAAGAGGCCTTGGAGAGGCGCGGCGACATCAAGATTGATGTTTGCGCCATTCTGAACGACACCACGGGAACCTTGATGTCGTGCGCCTGGAAGAACCCGGAATGCCGCATCGGGCTGATCATCGGAACCGGCCATAACGGGTGCTACCTGGAGGCGCAAGCCAACGCCGAACTGTTCGACGAACCCGATATGGGTTCGGGCAAAGTCATCATCAACTTGGAGGCGGCTGCTTTTGGGGACGATGGCTGCTTGGAGTACATGTTGACTGATGTGGATAAGCTGGTGGATGGCGACAGCATCAATCCTGGAAAGCAGATCTACGAGAAACTGATATCTGGCATGTATTTGGGGGAAGTGGCGCGTTTGTACGTGCAAAGGTTCATAGAAGGCGACCTGATGTTCGGGGGCAATCACGCCGAGGTTTTCCAGACCAAGTAAGTATGAGGAAAGCTGCCTGAAAAGGGCTTGGCTCACTTAGCTGATGGGTCTAGGGAGGTGTTTGAGACCGCGATGATATCAGACGTAGAGTCCGATCCTGCAGGGTCGTTCCAGAAGACCCAGGAGGTTCTGCAGAAGCTAGGTACCCCGTATTTTTGCACGTAGCTGCTGCCGCCCCACACAAATAACTTGCAGGTATCCCGGATGCTTCAGAGCAGGACATGATCAACTTGAGGTTCATCTGCCAGTCGATCTCCAGGCGATCTGCCCATTTGACTGCAGCCACCGCTTGTGTGCTGACCAAGAAAGTCAATGAGCCGAAAATCGTCATTGGGATTGATGGATCTGTTTATAAGTTTCATCCGCACTTCAGGTGAGCTGGGCAAAAAAAGTGAGGCAAAGTGGCTCACATTAAACGAGTTCGTACTCCAGGAAGTTGATGAAGGCGAAAATGCAGGAACTCATGGAACCCGGCTTTGAGTTTGACCTGATGCTGTCTGAAGATGGAAGCGGCAGAGGGGCGGCCCTGGTGGCGGCGATGGCGGCAATGAGAATGAAGGACCAAGAGGCTTAGTAACAAGCTGTAACAAGCCGGAAGATTTTGCTTTGTTGGCGCCCTTAAACGTGAATAGAAACGTGTTCTCTTTGCTCCGAGGTCCCAATCAATAACTGGCACGCATAAATCCAAAATCATCTTCCCCGTTCATTTTTTTACATGTGCTCCATTGTCCGCTGCCGCTAGAAGGATGTATATTGATCGTTCGAGGGCCGAAGGTGCAAGTCGAAAACGCGGTCGGCTTAAAAAGGAAATCTCTTAAGCTTTTGTTCGAAAAAATGTGTCGGTCGGCGCTGGGAAATCCCTTAAATCTATTGATACACTGGCAGGTGATTAATTGGTTGTTTCAGGGCTCGGTGCAGGATTCTAGTTGTCCGCACTCTACTTCGTTATCGATGCAGAAAGAAAAACAAAGTTTTCGCTTGCTGTTCATTTGCAGCCGCTTGATGCGAATCGATACCCAATCAATTCGGTATTGGTTCCTTAATTGACCTGGTTTCGGTATTAGATGCTAATTTATTCTCTATGGAGGTGTTAATTGCTCCGCATAACTGCAAGGGGTGTTAAAGGCGACGCTTATCTAATTGGGCGCTATTTGCCAGAAGATTTGTTCTACTTAGTAGTATATAAATATGGGGGTGAAAAACGTTTGAAAACCGGGTGAAATCATTGTTGAAAGCATGTGGTGACTGAATTCAATGAGAGCAGTAATTTTCGATTATGCAGAGAATAGTGCAGAAGCCATCAATTCATGAAACACTCCGAACTAATAGTTAATTGTATATACTTTCCTGACTGTTTCAATTCCACATCAAAATTAATTCCTGGGTTTCAGTCACTTATTGTCTTTATTTATCAATTAAAATACGTTTCGGTGTATCTTTCCACCATCATCAGTTTTTACGTGTAGCGTTGTTGCTGCTTTAAGCCTTGGCATACATTTAAAATGTATTATTAATAATAATATATTTTATGCCTTATTAATAATAAGCTCTAGTTAGCAGTTGGTTGCTATGAAGTTCTAAGGCTCTGGAAATTATCCGCTAATTAATCCTGCCGGCTTTGCAGAAATGATTTTTGAGCACTGGGGAACTTTCAGATTGCTGCCTGCTTAGGCTTTGAAATTGTGAATTTTGGGCAAAAGCGCTCATTTTAACGGCGAAATTGACCGAGTCGAAAAAAATCCGGAAATGCGTTAATTTCAAAAAACGTTTCTCGATGTTTAGGCTCATCCTTCATCGGTTGACTGGAGATTTTCAAGTTTGCACTGATGTCAGATTTAAAGTTATCGGTTTTTTTGAAGTAATGTATTTTTTAGGGAGAAAGTGGATCTGTGAAAAACGTCCATTTTCAAGACAAACATGTCCGACACCGTGAAACTCAGAACGTTGGGGCGATTTTTGAGAAACTTTCAGAAGTTTCAGACTCGACTGTCTTCTGTAGGGCGTGCGACTTTCAAGTTGTTACTTGCGTCAGATTTAAAGATATGAATTTTTCAACGAAAACACGCATTTGCTCAAAAGCG